AGTATTATAAAAGATTAACAAGTACTCTGCAGCATACTGGTGCTGGGTGACTAAAGAAAAGATGGGACTTTGAAAGAAGAAGAGTCTACAACTAATACAGTTACATAAACAGAGACTTTTGCCCTTGTGCAAAGAAAACAAAGGAGGATAATCTATACAAAAGCAATAGAAATGAGAAAATGAGTTAAAATGCATGACACAAGGGCTAGAACTAAAAACAAGAAAAATAAAAGCCTAAATATAATAATGAACTAAGACAGTTTCGAAATACCAGTGAACAACCCAAAAGGAATACTAACTGATACACCAAAGTCTACCACAAACTGAGCAGAAGAAACAGAAAAAATTTATAGGACAGAAAAGTTGCCTGCTCAAAAAAACTCAGCACAGAAAGTAAGTTCTGCGCCAAATAGCAAAATAGAAAATTGCACAGTTAGTACAAAGGAAGGTTCTGAAATAAATTCAGATATAGTAATGGATAAGGTTGAATTAGGTGACTCCGATATATCAGCAGAAACAGATTTAGAAATGATACGAATTGAGGATGAAACTAATAGCATGCCTTCGAAAGAATAAGCACCTAAAAAATTGTGGTTTAGCCTTTTCATTAGAATGCAAAAAAGAAGGGCCACATACACTGCAGCTACCCCTAGAAAAGGAATTAAAACTAAGAATAAGAACGCACTTATTATAGACATTAGGAATTTGGTTAATATCCTCTAAACGAAATTATAATTACATTATATAACTAGCTAAGAAATGACTTTGTTGCTACAAAACCTCACTTTTTTAGAAGACAAAGATTAGACTTAGAACTAATTTTTAAGAATGGAGAAAGTCTGCAAAAATGGACTATAGAAGGTATTACAATATTTAAACAAACTCTATTCAGATATATGCCTGCTAATTTATGAAAGACAAACCTTTCAGTAAAGTTGTGCAATATCTCTATGGGAGAAAAAGATACTATTACCAGTCATATTAAGGAAGTAATGGAAGACTTTGGTAATATTATATCAATAAAATCTCTGTTATATGAAGAAACCCCAATTCTGTCTAATCAGTAGATAGTAGTATATAATACAACCAACAATCCTGCTATTACTGAAAAATTGCCTTGTCATACACATATCTAGGACCAGAAAGTGATTATTGAGTAGAAAGTGGCCCCAAAGGTATGCTTTTATTGTGACCTGGAAGGGTACATCAAAAGAGAATGCCTGCAATTTAAAGAGTCAATAGAATTAAAGAAATGTTATAAAAAGTATAGATCTGGTCAAAAGGAACCTGATGACAGTAGTAACACAGAGGCTACAATATTGTATTCACAAAATAATCCATATCTGAA